AAAACCGTTATATTACCTTTCAAAGAGTTTAAATAAGGTAACGAAAAAATATAATTTCTCAAAAAAACTGAAAAATTTCAGTGATAGACGAATTAGTAAGGTGGATACGCTAAGGTTGGCAATTCGATATATTCGTCATTTGGAAGAACTGTTGAGCAACGAAGACCACTTTACAAGCTGTCAGTGTTTTGCGTCGTTTAAGACTGAAAATGAGGAACAAAACGAATTACGAAAACAACAGAAAAGAAAGCGAGTGACTGGTGCTTGAAAATGCAATGGTTGTATTAGCATATGTAATTTCCAATAATTAATAATGATAATGTGTACAGCTTTCATTTTCCAAAAAATAAAAAAAATTTTTTGGCACTTTTAGCTGTAATTATAAACTGCTGATTCACATTACTTCTTGACCGTGAAATGTATGATTAAACCAACTGGTAAATATCTTGACGAGTTGTCTTTAAAACATACGTTTATCTGTCATCCCGGCACATGAAACATATAACTCTCATCATCTTTATAACTTTTTTCTGAAATTCTAAATAAAACATTACATGGAGTACTGCTAAGTATGTAGAGGTCTACAACCGTCGTGCAGTCTGAAACACAGACTCACATTTGTTTAATTGTACAAAAATTTTGGTACGAAAATGTAATTAGTTGTTAATCCAAAAAATGCGCTAGAAGGCTGACAGTGCTCTATGAATAAACATTGTCATTGCAAAGTGAGATTTGCCTACTCGTTCGGGATAGCAAAACCGCTGTGTTGCTCAAAGAGTTTAACGGTTTTGTATTGGCCAATAAATTAAACTGCCCTTTTGCGGTGCATGTAATGGATAGATTTGGAAAGCATTCATGGTATGGTTTGTTGATCATATGGAAAATATTATCCGATGTGTCTCCTCGTACATGAAAACGGTTATTTATCTAGCGAATACAAGTCGTTTACTGCTGCAACCGTGCCAGTAAAGCTGACAAAGGCTCTGAAATCGTGTCTTTAGTCTCTATTTCAACTAAAAAATAACGGAACTATACATAGTTTTTTAAAATTTTTTTCAGATCTATCGTTGAAACTATGTATTTTGTGACTGTTCATTGCAATTAAAAAATTGCTTTTTTTTTCTTGTAGAATGATCAAAATGTGCCCGTTTAGTGATGTTATCAATTCTGAAACTTGAACTTGTTGAAACTATTAGTCAGTTAGACAGCCAGGAGTCAACAAGAGAGGCATTTTTATTGACACTTTAATTTTACTGATAATAGCTGTTGAAATTAATTAGACTAAGTAAATTATGTACTTGTTTGCTTCAAAGGTATGATAACAGTAACAGTAAGGACCTTCAAAAAAGTTAAGGTATTTCACTGTCAAACCAATATAAACGCCTCTTTTGTTCTTCTTTTAGGTAATCCATTTAAACAAATAAAGAACGATTGGAGAGAAGATATAAATTTTGTGACGACTTGGTAAATAATTGTTTACGTCTGTTTCTAAGTTTAATGCTTTGTATTTCAAAGAAAACCCTTTTTCATGGTTAATTCTTTTCCTCCCTTAAGATCAAGACAAAGCTCCTCTGCATCATGCATCACAACGGCAGTGTTATTCCAGGACGTTCCAACGTTCCTAACTCGCTTATTACTATGGCCAAATTCTTTGTGAAAAAAAAGACTCCCTTTCTTTAGATCTCAAAATTTTGAAAGAACGAGCCCCAAGCGCAAAGTGCTTTGGACGCTTGAAAGTAGACAAGAAATGACTTGAAGCGCAAAACGCTTTAGCGTTAGGAAGCACGCAGGAAATAGTTTCAGGCACGATGCGTTTTGAATATTTCAGAGTACAGCTGGGGCACAAAAAACTTTTCCACATTGGAGAAATCACCAAAATTTTCAGTACTGTAGTCTTGTCGGTATTTATGGCAGCCACTACAAAAAAATATTTGCTTAGCTCACCGGTTAACGTACTTCATCACAGTGCACCTGAAAAAACTATTTGGGTATTCTAAAGCAGGAATTTAGCATTACGAAAAACTAGTAATTAAGAGTAATTAAGCTCTTGCACCAAGAAAAAGGTCCTTCACGATTACAAATTCAAAAAGCGATATTTTACCAAATTCTTTTTACAGCCACTGCTTGGTACTGCGTCAGTATATAAGAATGGACAAAAATCGTCATGGATCAAACTTTAGTGCTTTAAATTTCCTAAAGGGCACTTAAAAAACTGTTTAAACGCCTTTGTTATGGAAAATCTTCGACCCCCCCTCCCCCCCAAAAAAAAAACATAACTTTATTTTTTTTAAAAAGCTAGCTGTGATTTACATCAAGAAAATTCTTTATTTAAAAATAAATTAAGTCTTATTACATCACTTGTACATGAAGGAAAATTGATATGTTTATACACTGTTCGCCATGTAAGTTACAGCGTATTTCGTAACTTGAAAGACTTGCTATAATTACTTTTTTTGTTTAGTAACAACGCTAAAGTCAAAACATCGTAAATAATTTGTAAACGATTATTTCAAACTTTTGAAGCCGTGCTGTTGGTTTACTGTAAGCCGGTAGTTTGACAACACAAAAATAGCCTTTGATGGCAGCTGGTTTTGCATTTTCTGTGGCATTTGGAGAATTCGAGGAAGCAAATGGAGAAAAAATTTTTTTTTGTATACTTTTTCAACAGAGAACAAAGTTCTGCATTGCCAAGTGAATAAGCATCAAAAAAATGTAGTAGTGGTTGTAAAACATTAATACGTTTTCAACTGTATC